CCTACCCTCACCACCCCGACCTACCACCCTCCCCGCCCTTATGCATTTCGTCTCCCACGGTGTTTGCTTAAATTATAAAACATATTTTCAGCTACCTAACCAAATACCAGAAAATAAGTAAGAAAATCACTTATTTTCCAAGAAAATATTTCACAAGGAAAACATTTTGTTTCATACCAAACACACCCTAAGTGAACCGGATCATATTAAAACCATATAGTTATTGCAAAAGTCTATTTGTAGCAAAAGAGAAAGAAGAATGCAATATGAAGCAAAATAATGCATAAGTACATACAGAAAGGCGGGGCAGCAAAGCAGTGAGGTTGTCAAAGAGTTGTTCAACAACTTGTTGAGGAGGTAGCATGGAATCAATGTTAACCATAGCCATCTTCATTGGATCACCTGATGAAGCAAAAGCACATTATGTTTCTGACTATATAAAAAACTTGAAGCTACAACTTGCATATGCTGGTAGAGAAAAAGATACAATGAAAGGTTATTCCATATCTATTTCTTTTTGATAACACGATTAGAAACTGGGAAAAAGTTAACAAAAAGTAGAATCTATAATCAGTTCAGCCTTGAATTTATTTGGTAGTTTCAAGTTATACAAGTTCTGATAAAGTTCCCCAACTACTTGCAGCTGGAGTAATCAAGATTCTTAATCAGTACAATGTTTCTAACAAAAGATATCTTAGGGAGTGACTACTAATGTCACCTCGGAAAAACTTTCCAACAAACAAAGAGGAAACGACAATCATCAATTAACACTTGAGGACTAAAATACATAGGAATAGCACAAGAAATCTTGTCAAGGTAAGAGATAAAGCAACATCCCTATTTATGTGCCGTAATTATACTTGGCAATTGGAGGTAACATAATAATTTATTTATTTTTTGATAATAGGAGATAACATAATATATGAATGAAGTTTAAACATGGAAGCTGGAAACAGCAATATTGTCAGCCACACGGGAATTATACCCATAATAAAGCTCAGAAGATATGGGACTGTAACATGAAGTTCGTCAGGCAAAGACTCCAGTGGAGAGAGCAAAGGTTGAAGTTGTGACCTGCCAAATGAAGTTGCTGAAAGATGATAACAAACAGTTAAACCATAGAATACTAGGACATGGTGGATCTCCACATCGGAATTACAATAAGAGAAAAGTTTTGTTCTGAGGTCAGATGTCTGACCTGGATTAGCTAATATCAGAACAAGATCAATGTTACAGTTTCGAGCAGCAACAGCAAGAGCCAAACATCCTCCGAATGAATCTCCAACTACATAAATTGGCTTGTTTGGAGATGAGGCATGCAACATCCTTACAGTTGTCTCAACAAATTTCACCAGCTCTAAAAAAATTTGAAGTTCAAAGAATAAGTGTTCTAATCGATTTCCAGTTGTGACAGATAAAAGCACCATAAGCCAGAATCATGTTTAGGTTAAGTATACATATAAAAAAGAAATATTGCAAGTCATAGTCGAAGTCCAAATTCACAAACAAAGAGAGCCATCAAGTCCACCCACCCCAAAGATAAACAGAAAAAACTTGTTCTAACCTTCGAGGTTTTCGTCCTCACCCCCACTCTCCCAGATCAAAAGAAGGAAGACAGACCTTTACATCTTATTTAACTCTTTAAGCCTTTGGCTGGTGGTTAAACAGATGAAAACAACCTTCTGAACCTTCCAACCTGCACCCCAACTCATCCCCGTCAACGCCATCCACCCCATACCCCCAGCACGAAAGGAGCCCCCAGAAAAGAAGCAAAAAGATTGAAAAGAAAAAAAGAATGAAGGTAAAAATCTATTAGGAATTTGTTTCCTGATCTTAGATCCAAATTGCTTAGTTATTTGGATCCACCCAGCAAAAGTTATATAAATGAATAAGAGAAAAATCCAGAATATGTTCTATTATGGCCTTCTACGCTGAAGCCTTACCTTCCATATGCATCCAATTTGTCAGCTTTTAGGAGTCACCCTATTTCCTTCCATTCAACCTCCCCAATGCCAACCTATGGATCTATTTAAACTTCCAGGAGTGAGGTATTTCCGTTAAGATCTAAGGTGACTGCTTTTTTATTTGACAGGACAACAATGTCTCTAAGAGTTTGATGTATGGTGCACATATAAACAACATGAATTCACAGTAGACCGCTTCTCAATATAACATATCAAAATTACCTGTAGACCAAAATAGAGGGAGAAAAAAGTATACCTTCAAATGGTGTTCGATCATATACAGGAATATGCAAGCACCAAACTTGAAAGACTCTGCAAGAAACCTTAGATCAATATGTGCACTCCGATAGAAAAGGGGTTGGCAGTTCCATTATGCAAAGGATTCAGCATTACAGAAGCTGCTCAATAGAAGAATTTCCTACTGGAATGCTAGAGACTATTATTGCAGGTTTAGATTAAGCACAACAACTGAAGGCAAAATAAGTTTAAAATGCCATTATGAACCACATCCGTTTCACAGAAGAGTGGCATCAAACAAAAGTTCTTCACACTCAACAAACACATCACGTTTTTTAATAGCCTAGAAATGCCCTTTGAGTTAGTTGTCCGAGTCACAGTCGGCAAAGGTACGAAACATGGACCTGCCTCTCTATCCTGCTCGCATTTAAATATCAGGCCACATTTCTACTCACACATCATGCGTTGTGTCCATACCACTGAACCAAAGCACTAGAGCAAAATCACAGCACTTATCTATCAAGATTCAAGGTTATGTAATTTAAATTCACAGCTTGCTGTTTCTGACTCAAAACCGAAAAATTGGCATGAAGACATAGCCACAAAATCATGACATGCGAATGAACCTGTAGCTTTAAAAATATGAATAAGGCAACTGCAGTGCATGACAGAGACTACCAAACTGAAACAAAGGTCTTACTATATCTTCTTAGGCACAAGAAGAGAACATCTACTGTACAAATTACCACTGAGGATGCAGAAAATTAAGTGCACTAGATGAGCTGCGCTGAGCTACGCTCTGTTAATTGGCATTGATCTTATTCTCCTAACTATTTCCCCGTGATTTAAGTTGCCAACTAAAGTAACAGTATTCTTATAGTTGTGCTCATTTACTGCCTTAGCATAATCAGTGAAAGCATGAATCTAGAACTAGATACCACTACAATGAAATGTAATAGAAACAAGGTTAACTTACTTTCCAAGTGCCTTTTCATGCAAAACAAGACCCAATCCAGTACCATCCATTCCTACACATTGAACTACCCTAGGGTTAGATATTGAAAAAGCATATATAAAGACTCCGCAGAAGTACAATGCACAGATACATATGCATGGTTCAGCAAATTGAACTAGGAAATTCCAGCTCAAATTTGAGCATTACCTTTCTAATCATCTCTACCAATAAACTAAATAAGACTACCTAGTAACTGTTTTTAGGCATTACAAGTCAAATATAAGAAATTACTACCAGGCAAGAAAAGAAGAAGAGGTGAGTTTCTGAGAGGAGGGCCAGCTGAAATTGGTGTAAACCACCGCGGCGGACCTCCATCAGGCTTAATAATCTCTTCCGCTAACTCAAGGTAATCCTTCACAGTTTGTGTTCCATATCCATCATCCCAAAGTGGTTCCAACTTGTCTTGAACAATTTCCTTCCTCAAATGACCATTTCCCACATCAATCAAAGGTTTGTTTTCAACAGACGACACACCGTTAACTCTAACAGAATCATTAACTGTAACAGAATCAGAAGACTGTAATGTGGAGTCCCTGCTGCTGCTGCTGGCTAAACACCTCGTGTAAGCTCGAGATGGCTTAATCTTATAATCTGAATTCCAAGCCAAACAAGGGGAAGCCCACAAATTCTGCACAATTGAAGACATGGTTTCTCTAACCAATAGCTTCCGACTTCAGAAAAAGCACTCACTATCCTACAAAATATATAAGTTGCTTCTTTCTCTCTCTCTCTCTCTCTCTCGGTATGTTTATGAAGCAGACTAAAGCAAGTAAATTTCTGTTTTAAGACAAAAGTACAGTTGAAATGTAGTCTATCTTTTTGCAATTAAGCTTCAAAACCTCTAATTCGTTTTGCTACTCCTCTCTTGGACTAATGGCTTCAAGTTTTAGGAATTTCTAAACTTATCGCCAGAATTATTGTTACAACAAGTTAAGGTGTTACCAACATTTTTCACCATAAAAATTCTTCTAAATGCTTTGGGTTATGCTTATACATTGATTTAGGTGTCCTAAACTCTTCTATAAATGATGACTAGTTTTCCCAATAAACAAGCAAGAAAAAATAAAGGCACATTATGAGGTACAACAGCGTGTGAAACAGAGATTGACAACAAAAACAAAAAAGAGTTTGTGGCTTTAAGCTTCTTTAGTGCTCAAATAGAACAAAACAGACAAGAGTCCACTTAAATTGATATACACACACAGTCATACATTACGGGAGCATGTGGGAAGCGGGGTTTGCCAAAACGGCTAAAGAGACGTGGGTTTACTTGAACGACTGAAACAAATCATTGTGGGATATTTGTTTGTTGATAATACACGTAAAACTATTGGTAGCCCTATGAGGAAAACCAATTTAGCACACGTAGCACCACAGCACCTTGGATGGGGTTTTGTGCCAAACATGTTTGTCACGGTAAGTTATGTACTAGAAGGCACTGGAAAAAAAAAGATTAGGAAAGATTTTTAAAACTTATAGGGTGTGTTTGGTACGAAAGAAAATATTTTTCATAGTAAATATTTTCCTAGAAAATATTGTCATGGAAAATGAGCGATTTTATCACTTATTTTTTCCTGTTTAGTTGGTTAGTGGAAAAAATTTAAAAAAAAAATATTTTTTAGCGTTTGGTTAGAGATTAGAAAATATTTTTTTATATTACTCTCCTCGCCCCTTCCCCCAAGTCCCCATATTTCTTT